GCACACAGGGACATACCGGTGCCAGTACCGGGTGTCAGAGCCAGCAGAGACATCAGAGAGGAGTGACCCCGTGGAGCTGGTGCTGACAGGTGAGGGCACTGGGGTCCATGGGAGGCCCTGAGCTGTCCTCACAGGCCCAAGTCCCACCCATTTTCTCTCCCATCGTGCAGATCACTGCTTCCCGCCACCTGGCATTTCCATGAGCCCCAAGGAACGTGTGGGGATGGGGACCAACATCACTATCCATTGCAGCAACATGTACCAAGGGGCCACCTTCCTGCACAAGGACGGGCACTCAGTCCCTATCCAGCAGCAGGACCCTGATGGTGGGGGCACGGCCACCTTCACCCTCGTTGGGGTGACTCCAGCTGACAACGGCACCTATAGGTGCTCCTACCACCCCAAGGGCTTCCCCTTTCTGTCCTCCCCCCTTGGGGACAGCGTGGCACTGGAGGTGACACCCACGCCTCCAATGGCAGAGTCCCATGGGAACCTGGTGGTGGCAGTGCTGAGGGTCTGTGCTGCTGCCCTCATCTTCTGCCTTGGCGTCTTCTTTGTCCTCAATGCCCGCAACCTCTGGATACGGAAAGATGGGAGCCCTGCTGGGGAAAAGGTTAAATAGATTTCATCTCTGATTCGGATTCCATATGTTTTCTACCTGTGCTTTGATCCCGTATACACACCCTCAAGTCTCCTCCACCTCCTCTTCTAACCTCTATAAACCCCCATTGCTCTCCCTTGCTGCCAGTTCCATCTCCTATTCATCCCCACTCCACCTACCTCGGGACATCCCAGTAACTCCCACCCAGCTCCACTCTCCATTTGGATGCAGATGCCCACTCCCAAATGCCTGAGGCCATGCTGTTCCAGGTCAGTGTCTGGGTCGAGGGACCCTCCATCCCAACATGCCCCCTCAGATCCCATACCAGAACCTTAATACCTGCTGATGTGGACCCTAATGGACCCTCAGTTCATATGGTTACCCTATTAAGTGCACCTCCCAATAAGAACTGAGATTTATGGAACCCAAAATCTATAGCTTGGGGACCCCACAAATGCTAATTTTCACTAAAAAAGTCCCAAGGAGACATCAAACCTTGCAATGGGACTCCAAAACTACATCTGTAGAGAACCCCAATTTCTGATCCATGAGAAACCAAATCTGTGCTACCCAAAGACCTCCAAATCCTGCACCCTGAACACCTCCAAACAGATTAAAAGGACTGCCAAAAAAACACCCTTGGGGATCCCCATTTGATGAATCCCAAATACACATACAACAACCCCCCCGGAACTCATCTTTTAGGATATCCACCCAAACTTTATACACCTTGCGTGTCTCCCTCTCAATCAGATTGAGGACCCCCATGGTGGCTCCCCACTCTTCCTTTTGTAGCTCAGGTGCCCCTCAGTGACAGAAGGGTCTGACATATATCGAGCTGTGACCCCCAAACCCCCTTATCTGCATCGAGGTGGCTGCTGGGGAACGCTGCTGATGCCTCCCACAGTGCTTCATTGTTACGGTGCACTGAGGGGAACAGATGCCACATCTCCTGCTTGGGGCTCTATGGAGCTCTGTTCTCCCTGCAGACTCCACAAATCCCCTAATTCTATCACTCTCCGATTCTCACTGGTGCACCACAAATACTTCCCAAAGGCTCAAAATCCCCTTTTGCTCATCTCTTGCCTCAACC